GGTTTAATGAGAAAATGCTGCTTCTCATGCCCATATACAAGAGAATTCATACCAGAGGTGACCAAGTGGGGCCTGTGGGCCAAAACTGGCTCACTAAGCCATTTGATTTGGCTTGTCATGGTTACTGTCATCCTATGGAGAAACACAGTATTTCCACTTAAAGTCATTCCATCTGTTGGCCCATCAACTATAAGGGGCTGTAGTACAGAAAGTCTTCACTCATGGTGCTGATTTTATCTTTGAYATATTAAAATTAAACAGGAAATATAAGGAACTACAAGAGATATTTAGATTAAATTTAAGCACACTTCACACAGATTTTCCYACTTCATAAGACCACAAAAACATATATTTTATCAATTTATGAAATGTCCCATGAGCCCACAGGCTATAAAATAAAGAAATGTGGGCCACCACACTGGCTGCTAGCCTAATCATTAAAAATAAAAGGATTTTACGTAAGAAGTACTTGCATTTCCTGTATTATTTTTTTAAATTTGGCCCGCAGCCTTCTGATAGATTTTTATATCAGCCCTCTCAGAAAAACATTTGGGCACCCCTGATCTATACCAAATAATTTTTAGTTCAATTTTGGGGGATCCCATTAAACATGAGATGAATATGGACAAAATAATTTTAATAATGTTCAATTCCCGTTTAATCTAATACATTGTGTTTTTTAATTGGATAAATTAAAGTTCCTATGATCAAAATAATTTTGCATTTATTATGAATGAGCTGAGCAGAGCAGTAAACCTGTCTGTGTATGTGTGGGTCCTTACATGAGCTCCATATACATATTTATCCAGCATTTTCCCCCCCAGAGTTTGGCCTCCGATGTCCCAAACTTGCAGAGTCACGTTCAAGTTGCCTGCATTGAAGAGGGGGAAAAAAGAAGAAGAAAAACAGACAAGCTGAAAATTTTTAAAAAGGAATGACATTTTATTGGCAAGAATATGCATTAAAAAAATGATACTTTACAGTTTAGTTTTCAACTTCTGTCTTTATATATTTATATAAAAGCTTTTCCTGATGTAAATTTAGTGAAATATGAATACAAAGGGCATAAATGTGTGGGATTCCATTCTTAAMGTTTTATTTACACATTTGTTGTTTTCACAAAGTGCAAAACCCTGTTGAAAATGATCGAGCTGTAACCAGAGCCCTGTTCTTTTGAGCGGTCATTTTTTATTGTAATAAAGTTTAAACTATTAGGCCACATTGTGAAAATAATAAATCAGGAATTAATCTTTCCTGCTAAATGCTCTTAAACTGACAGATCACCTACAGCTCACATCCAAGAATATCCAGCCAAGAGTTTAAAAAAGATGAATATGTTACACATTGATTTTAACATCCTCAACACTGGCTGTAAGAAAAGGACTTCTTATAAACCGGAGCAAAGCTGTTTGCATTGTGCCATGTACTGCCAAGTAGGTTAAGTCAGAATAATTACGTGCTGTTGGGGAAAACAGCAATAATCAAAACGAGAGAAAAGGAAGACTGTTGTTCTTWTACTTGTGGAAATAAAACGAACGAAGGCGAGAGAGACCGACACCAAAACCAAATCCAAATAAAAATTTTCTTTCTTTGGAAAATAAAAAAGTGCGTTTGAAAAAAAAATCTAAAGAGGAGAAGTGAGGAGGATGAGGCAGCCGTGACGAAGGCCCCGCTGCTCCGATGAGGATCGGCGCGCTCAACCGTGGACACGGCTGGACGACTCAGCCTTTTCAGAAGTTCACTTTTTACGGCGAGGAAGGGAAACGCTGGGGTTCACAGTCACTACATCCAGACTACACACAGTTAATGTCAAGTTACAGCGAGGAGGGCGAGGAGTAATGACTTCTGGGTATCATAAAAGACCCATCCCGACCCATTCGGCGGGCTTAAAATGTAAGATTTATTTGTGTTTAAAAAAATTGCTGACTCAAAACTTCTGGCATATTTCTGTTTATGTTATGCAAGAAGTAAATTCTTTAATTGTGAAATATGATAAAGTCAGATACAGTGATAGCATAACGTGATACTCATGCAGAGAAAAATCTCCCAAACGTTGACCAGAATTTATCGTGCAGATTCCACTGCCTCTGCCTCGTCGGCTTGGCAGGGACATCTGGTAGAGGTATTGTGATAAAACGCACACACAGAGGAGGCTGTTGTGTGCCAGTCGGCCTCGCCTCACCTCTGCCTGCGTTGGAAAATGTACATTAAGTTTGACAAGCCGGGCCTTCATGGTGAGAGGGGCCTGCTCTGGCTATAGGCTACTCTCCCCCCTGCTGCAAAAGACCCTTACAGCCCCATAGAGACACACTCTCCAATAYAAGGCTGGGTGGGGGTCCTAACAAAGTCCGGGACCACCCAGCTAGAAGAGCCACCCTCCTCTTCATCAGCTCATCAACACCCAATCCTCCGGAAAATGGGCCGTTTAACAACTCAGGTGTTGAATCCAGCTTTGCTGCTGCCCCACTGATACAGACATATGTGATCTATATTTAAACGCATTTGAACCCAGAACAGATCACAGGTTGTTTCCAGAGTTACCGGAAAGAGAAGTCAAACGATTAACAGCATTTATTCAGCTTCATATTAAGAAGCTTAACCCAGCCTGTGCTTATAGTTGGCTCTTTTCATCCCGACTCCACCACAACATTTTTGGGGGTTTAGTTCTCCAAAGTCTCATGAGCTGAAACGAACACAAAAATCAAAATAGGATCCCTCAGCAAACTCACAAATCAGCATAACTTTTACTTTTAGCACTTAATTCTCCTTTTGCCTAATGTTGTTTTATTAGTAACGATAGAATGGAGCCACTTTGCAGATTTCTGGCCCTTTTGGCCGAGTTTGAAGAAATACCGTTTGAAACGCTGAAAATCCCCATTTGCAATGGTTGGGAGTTAAATAGAGTGTTTTTTCTCTAAATATAGCTTAAGGCAATAAACTTTTATTTAATCATTTTTAAAGGGATACAAAGTGTGTGTGTTTTTCCCCCTCCTCTCAGTTCACCAAAAACAAATTGGGAACCTTGTTTCATGTGGCGAAGAACAAAGTACAGTTGGACACATAGATTAGCAATATGGAAATAAAATGTTAATGTATTTTTTTTCTGAAAGTGGCCTCAGAACTAAGAGCAAAGCCTGTCCCTTTGAGCCTAAGCTGGCCACTGGCCTTGTGGAGTCCAAAAGTGTGCTGTTTGCTCAAGAGAGAAGAGCTTTCAGAGTGAATAAGGCTGAGAAGTGGCAGACGCTCTACAATAAGGAGCAAACAGAAAAGATGCATTCAGCTCCTGCTTTAAAGGAAAAACTACACAGGAAATCAAAAAAAATTAAATAGTAATAAAACACATAAACAAAACAGGCTTCTTTACTAGATTAACATTTCTAGTAACATCCTGATGACGTGAAGCAAAGAAAAAAATCCAGTCTTAAATTATAAATACAGCTACTTAGTCTAAAAAGGTTTTATCAGAAAAGCATTTTTTTTCAGTACTTCGCTGAGAATTTGCAGCCGACCGATGCACGCTTGTGCAACTGGCGTCTGCACAGTGTCTCCGAACAAGAAAGCGCTCCCTAAAGATTACAAAAGGTGTCTCACCTGGAAGGCTTATTCTCTTCAAAAAGAAATCCAGGCCGATGGTTTGTTTGTACTGCTTCCCGAAGGCCTCCTGTGCAAATCTAGTGGCGAGTGATGTCTGAAACAGAGTGACAAAAAGACAGATGTGGAGAATGAGTACCAGACACGTGCAGCGATTAGCTGGCAAAAATAAATAAATATATAAAACATCATTTACAGATAAGCATTTTAAAAGGCGGTGTCAGAACAGAGGAGATGCCTTCAGACAGCGCAGAGTATTTGTTAAAGCTAATATCTCCTCGGCACAGCGGGGACCAGGGTGAAATATGAGACGCAGCAAAAATCCTTCCAGGAATAATATACTGAATATTAAAGAACTTCCTGAGAATGGGATATTTTGGTAAGCAGAACTTTAAGACGTTTTTGGTCCATTCACACTAAAACAAATAAAAATTTTAAAAAAACTATGCATTTTCTTCTTCTTCTTTCTTTTTGCACTTCCTAAAAAAATGAGAATTCACAAAAGCGGGGAGTAATAAACAAAAACCTTCATGTGCTGCAGTTTAGTTTCATCATTCAGATCTTTCAAAGATTCACTGATTGACGAGAAGGTTGGGTCGCTGATGTAACCGTCTGCCTGCTCTGCTCAGCCACGAGAGTGACAGAGCAAATCAACGGGAATTACAAAAACAGGTGTCGGAGCATGTGTCATGTCTCAGACCTAATAATTGCCACAAATTATAAAACTTCCATCAATGTCAAGGTTGTATTTGAGAAGGGGGTAGGGGGGAAAAAAGGAAATCTTAGGGGCTCTTTTACAATCCGTGGGAATTCATAGCCCAGTCAGTACATGCCAACTTTAATTCATTTTGATGGATGAGCTTAAGAAAAAAAATAGTGCTGAATGTCTATTAGCTATCTTTAGAGCAGCATGCTTGCATAAACACAGCAGAAAAGTGAAGCAATGGGAGTCTGTCTGTGTTCATGTGTGTCAGTAAATGTATTTTAATGTGCTGTCTGACAATCGCTGCCGGTTTAAGGACTTAAACCGAAACTTTGTCTTTCAATCCCCTAAGCTTTCACTTAAGCCTGTGTCGATATTTGCCTCAATTCATGCTCAAAGTGTTTAGGTTTAAGTCAAACACTTCTTCAAATAGAACCGGACTTTAAAAAAAAAGGTTTAATAGAAATTAAATAGAATTACTCCTTTTAATGGTTTGTACTGGTTTAAATTGTGTGTTTTTTACGTAAACAATTTTTTGAGATGCTCATATTTATTATGCAAGTTGTTTTAACGTTTTGGCAATCTGGATTTTTTTTAATTATATAATTTAATCAAACCTAACTTTTTAATTTCTACCAATAATTATCTTGAATAATAATTCCTTGGTAGTTTTTTTTTCTTCTTCTTCTTTTAAGGCCCTGTCACACTATAACATTTTTGACAACTTATGCCAACTTATGAAAATTTTTTTGGCTAAATTACTAATAAAAGTTGTATATTTGATCATTTTGTTAGCATTACAGTACATGCCTAAAGGAGGGTTCCAGTTTATTTTTTTAATTCCATCGTCAAGATAGAGGTTTTTAAATTTTTCATAGGTTGGCGTAAGTAGTCCAAAATGTTATATAGTGTGCAGGGTCTTTAAATTAACAAGACCTTTTAATTATATATGATTTCCCCCCCCCTCCCCCTCCCCCCCCAAAGTAAGTCAAAGCCTCAAGTGTGACTGAGAAATTACCAGAGGTGACTGAAGCAACAAGGAGAAAATCAGCCATTTAAGTAGCCTGAACAATCACTGACAACATAAAACTAACAAGCCTGGACAGCAAAAATGTATTCCACATGCTCACGCTGGACTTATTGGCCATTTGTCTTGGCATTCCAGTAACTTGGCTCTCCTCCTTAAACATAGTTTGTGTTTTTTTTCCACTGTACAACTGGAACTAACCAGTCAATGTAATAGTTGGCGTAATCTTGACACTCCAACAGAGAACAGCAAAGGGTCACCAATGATACCAGTGCCGGGAAATGAGGGAAGTTCTGCTGAAACAAGAAACTTGCAAAGAAAAAACAGCACTGACCATGTGATGCAACTTGTTGAGAGACGTTACATTTTTACAGCTCAGTATCAGAACTGGCACTTAAGAGTCCTTAAGCAGATACAAGAGACATAACTCTAGTCTGATTAGGAATTCGTCTTGGAAATAGTGCCCATTAACGTACAGGGCCTGCACCTAAAGCTCCTCTTTGTCCTATGGGTCACAGAGCAGCAAATACTCAGGAAAACTGAGAGGCTTCTAACCCAAGTTGAAAAATAGGCCAGTGTGTAAGCTCAGCCCAGCGTCGTAAGAGCCTGGCTGAATGCGAGATTCCATATTTTAAAAATATCTTGCTCAGGTGGACAAGCCTCCCCACATCTCCCTGTAGTTTGAATGGACAACTAACCACAAGCAAAAACACCACTGAAAACGCTGTCCAAGAAAAACTGATCCGATTGCAATTTGCTGAGCAAATTGACATTAATAAGGGGGGGAAACAGCATTCAAGATGTCAGTCAGTGGTGCCCAGTCGAAACGGGGGGCAGGGCTCCTGTTTTCTGTCCAAAACAGACAAGCAGGGAAGTCATTCAGACAGAGACGAGCTGACACCTGGCAGCAGCGTGAGGAGGGTTATTAATGTAGCGTATCTACAGGGAACTGAGTTGTGTGTGTGTGTGTGTCCTCTGAATACAGACACACAGCGCCTCCCGAAAGAAAACGTTGGCTTTCCAGAATGAGAACATTCATTTTTCTCATCGCGTCCCGCCAAATCATTTTTCTTTCTCCCAAAGGAAGAAGAGATTAGTTACAAAAGAGGATGTGTACCTGAAAAAGCACTTGACATCCTTCCCATATAATCACCGTCATTCAAGATGCAGTGAAGAAGAAACGTGGCTTAATTGTCATGCCAACCTCTTTGCTTTGCTGCACATAATTCGTTGGTTGGAGCAGGAAAATAATTCCTCTGTTGTTGATGTAGGTAGACGTTTGTATTGCGAGGCTCAAAAACAGCCAAAAGGATTACAAGTCAATATGGTTATAGGATTTAGCAAAGACAAGGAATTTACTGATGAAGCCATGTGTGTTCACAGCTCATACGTCAATAAAGTGCGACTCACTTGCGAGTTTTAATGTCAGTGACTGAAAAAGAAGCAGCATGTGCCCACCAACAGACATCATTTTCTTAAATGGAGCTTTCTCGATGGAGCCATTTGGGGCTTGCAGATGTACAACCACCTACAGGAGCCAGGCTAAGCAAACTGCAGCCTTTATCAACAATCATATTTTATGCAGTATGAACTTTTAGTTCAATGCAACAACTGCTAAAGTTTTGTGGGATGCTATTGTCTGTTTAAATTGTGAATTTACCCCTAAAAGTCTATGTGTTTCTTATTATTTCGTCRATGCAGGGAACAGTTTATTTACAGCAAAGCCGGGTTATCTCAGTTACAATAAAGCATGGCACCTCAAGTGCTAGCCAACCACTACATTCAAGTATGCACACGTTGTGGATTAGGGCTGGGTAGTCTTAATAGGTTTAGAGCAACGGATTGGTGCCAGATTTAAATTTACTCTGCAATCTTTGAGRCTGCCTCGAAACTCTTATTGTCAATCCACAATGTGAAACGGCTGCTGGATTTTCCACACTGACCTGAAATTAATCAATTGCAAACTTTCTCTCAAAGTTAAAAATATGTTTTCTAATAATACAACATACCTTGCATAATTTGCCTTTTGTTTGAACAGATATTCCTTTCTAGTAGCGAGGATTTTWTTGGCACTTCTTTTCCCAGATACGTAAGCTTTGAAAAAAAATTTGAAAGCCTGTTTATTTCCCTTAAATGATGTAGCAATCAGTAAGAAAATGCAGTTGAAAAAAAATGCTGTATATGGTTCTTCCACGTGCTACTGAGGCTCCRGTTTGTAAAATGAATGAAATGATAAAGTGCCAACATGTCTCGTTTCTTTATACTTCAACCATCCAGTCCAACACCAAACAAGAGCCACGAGCAAAATAAGTTGTTTGACCTTGACTGAGAAAATTTGGCTAGTTTTTCATGGACACAACCTGCTGCTGCTCAACCTGTAAATGCATTTTACTAACAAACATGGCACCATTACAGGGAAATAAACAGGCTGTCCAAGTATACTTAGCACAAAATAAAGGAAATTTGTGTTTGGTMGATTATTTCTTTGTTGTAACAATGCTTCTTGGCAATAAATCTTATATCAGGCACCTGATTGGCAGCACCTGGGGGTACCAGAAGCTCAAAACAAGTGCCCATATGAAAATAGCTTCATCTGTCCACTGCCTGAGAGCGATGATGGTGGCTGCAGTTCCATGCCCAAATGCTACAGGCGCTAATGAGTCAAACAGTAAAGTCCAGCATGAATCCATCTTACAGAAGTCTTCTTCTTTTCTTTAAAAGACTTGAACAATCCTGCAGAAAATACCTTTAAACTGACAAACAATGGGCTTCAGTTTCTCACATGCTTTGTGTTTGAGAATATTTTATCCATGTACAGTAAAAATGCATGTAAAATTAATAAGGAGAATTTACTGTGCAATCTTTTTTTAATAACATTACATTATGTTACAAGTGTTGGAACATAATGTGAAATGTATACACCCTACCAAAACTGTGGATTTATGTGCAAGGATGTTGAACAAATACTTGGCCCCTGTATGAATATTKTGGCCCCTTGATGGCCCCTTAGAAAAATCCTAGACCAGCCAATGGGGCGGCTGTGGCGGAGTGGTTAGGGGAGTCGTCCTGGAACCAGAAGGTCACTGGTTCGATCCCCCGTCCAGCCGTCTCAGTCGTTGTGTCCTTGGGCAAGACACTTCACCCACCTTGCCTACTGATGGTGGTCAGAGGGTCCGGTGGCGCCGATGCATGGCAGCCCCACCTCTGTCAGTGTACCCCAGCGTGCCCCAGGGCAGCTGTGGCTACAGTGTAGTTTGCCATCATCAG